CACACACACACACACACACACACACACACACACACACACACACACACACACACACACACACATGTATAATAATATGTATCATATCAACACACGAGTACACAACTTGAAGTATGAAAGAGTAAATAATATGCTAAAAAGTGTCCCCCCCAAAAAACAACAACAAGACCAACATACTAATATATTCCTGTATGTATATAAATTAATCAATGGACATAGAAAAGGCAACATTTCTATCTTACCCTCAAGGGTAACATTAGTGCCATGCAGAGCCACATGTACTGCCACCCGGCCCTCAAAGGGCAGGTTACTCCTGTACACATAAGGGGAGGTAACCGTGATCTGTCCTTCCTGCCAGCCGTGACCAAAGATGCACACTGAGGATACAAAGGAAAGCAAGGTTTAATTATCAAACTAGTTTGGTTAGTTTTAACAATTTAAGGACCATTTAAATGCAGTCTCAATATTGCCTTTTGACTTGATATTTCAAGCTTACAAATTCTTACCAAACACACCAGATTTGGATTCGAAGTTGGTATCATAATATCGTGATTAAATATTTTATGAAACTTTCTTTTTCTCACTTGACCCTCCATTCCTCACTCTCTCTCTCTCTTCAACTCCTTCTCCTCTCTCTCTCTCTCTCTCTCTCTCTCTCTCTCTCTCTCTCTCTCTCTCTCTCTCTCTCTCTCTCTCTTCCTTTCTGAAAATTAACCATACGTTTCAAAATATCCCCTTTTATCAGTTTAGATTATTAATTTGTGCGTGGACTTGATTTTCGAAAACGATTTATGTCACAGGGCAACGCCTTCCTGGTACAAGAATTGATACAGCATTTGGAAGGCGTGCACATATAAATCCTGGTAGCGACTTACCCAAAATGATGGAGCCAATAGCAACAGCATAGCTAGCCCGTATTGCAGAAGACCAGCGCTGAGGAAAAGAGATGTAATGGTTCAGATAAAGTACAAAGATGCACATTCACATAATAACCAAGGATGAAAAAGTAAGATATCTCTCTCTGTTGTAAAGAGAGGTACATGGACAAAAGAGCAATCATTAAATCAGTGTCAGCAAAAAGCAAGACTGATAAGCAGACCAAACAGGTGAAGCATAAAGAAGTAGGACCTGCAAGGCTCACCACCTCACCTACACGCAGTTGAGAATCAAACTCATGTGCCTTGAACGTAATGCGAAGAGCCCAATCTTAACCAGTCATTCGCCATGGTTAAACAGAGCCCCATGATTAAAGAAACGATACTATCACTAAACCAGAGAGGTGACATGGCATTCCTGTAATGGGCGAGCTGCCCTCAACATTGAAAGGACGGCAGACTGTTTACTTCTACCGGCCAACTTGAGGAAATATGAGAGGCAATGGGAAGAAGGGATGGGGCCGTTTTGAATCAAACTCAACGGTGCAGTCTTTTAGAAACATTCTCTTTTCTTAGAGTTTTTTTTCCTTAAAGATTCTTTCAAGATTTTGTTTCGTAATATCAGACGCACAGCTCTAAGGTAGCTTAACTTTTTAAACATAGCTGTCTCTAATGCAACAAGATCCGTTTTCCGGTTATCCTTCTTTTCATCAGCTTTGACGCGATTATCTCCCCTGAGGCGTTGCGATTTCAGAGCGGACAGTCTTTAATTTTTAAAAAGTTTTACGCATATCCAAAAAGACGCAGTCACGTCACAGTTGGACGCAGATTGAAACAAACATTTGGGGCAGTAAAACGCAGGAGTCAAAATAACCAAAAAATTCCTTTTTTTTTCTAATCTGCAATGGCGACTCAACTTACATGCGCCATTTGTTGCACCTCTTCAACCTGCTTTATGATATGTCAAACCAGGTTTCTATTCTTTGTTTCTTTAAATTTCGGCTTTTGTTAGTCTTTAAACACAAACGTATTATCTTAGATGTGGTGTACAACACAAGATGCCACAGGTTTGTTTTACCTTCAGAGCAGGAAAAAAATCACAATTTTCTTTCATACAGATACGTTTTACACTTAACATCACTTTGTTGTTCATTGAAAATTCTCTAACTGAGGAATGGCATAAAAATAAAATCTCAAATGGAGCTTTTAACATAAAACAATTAGTAATCATACCTTTGCCAGCACAGGGCTTTATAACATTATTGTATGAAAAAAAGTTCTCTTTTTCTGGGTAAAAAAACCCACTGTAAGCTAAGAACTATCCCACCCCCCCCCCTTTCCCCCAAATCCATCCCCTCTTCTTTTTCTCACAGTATTTTGCGATATGTACCCTGAAGGAATGAATAGGCTCTGTTTCGCTTTGTTTTTGTTCGTCTTCTCTCTTTGGGTTAAAGAAATGCGTATCGTCAAAGATTTTTACTATCAGTTAATTGCTGGAAAAAAACCTGTATGTCAGAAACAGCAGGGGGTTGTCTGAATAAATAAAAGCACACATCGACACAATAACAGCTTTGTGTGCAGAAATTAAAAGTAAGACAGAAAAGGCTGAAGTAATAGAGGAAGTACAAAAAGTGAATTCTACCAATGGCACCCTCCCACCGCCCACTGAGACATAATATAAGAAAGATTCTTTTAGAAACATAACCGCTTTGTTTTCTCTCTCTCTCTCTCTCTCTCTCTCTCTCTCTCTCTCTCTCTCCCTACAT